ACCAATCAGTCAATTAATCGATGTATCAATCAATCAATCAATCAATCAATCAATCAATCAATCAATCAATGAATTAATCAATCAATAAATTGATCAATCAATCAATCAATCAACCAATCAATCAATCAATCAATCATCTATTCATTCATTCAAGATCCGTCGATTTCGACGGAAAGTTCGTCGAAATCGATGGACGTTGATTGATTGATTGATTGATTGATTGATTGATTGATTGATTGATTGATTGATTGATTGATTGATCGATGGATCGATGGATCGATGGATCCATCGATCGATTGATCGATTGATTGATTGATTGATTGATTGATTGATTGATTAATTAATTAACTGGAAAAAAAAAAAATCTCGTTGTTCAATTCAGGTTCGTGACTGATTAGATGACAAGGCATTCACTAGCTTCGGACTCTCACAATTACTCCCGCCGTTTACCCCTAAAAGATGAGGTGCGGTGTTTCACCCATTGGCATAACGATGACGAGGACGAGGCTGAGGTGGAGGAGGAGGAGAAAGGAAGAGGCAGATGGATGAAAAAGGAGGCGACGTCGATGGAGGAGGAAGAAGATGCGGAGGAGGTGGAAGAGGAGGAGGTGGAAGAGGAGGAGGAAGAGGAAGAGGAGGAGGGGGAGGCAAAGGACATGAAAGAGGAAGAGGAGCATGCGATGGAGGGAGAAGAGGAGCATGAGGAGGAGGAAGAGGAGGAAGAGGAGGAGGAGGAGGAGGAAAAAGAGGCGATGGAGGAGGGAGAGGAGGCGGAGGAGAGTAGGAAGAGGAGGTAGAAGACGAGGAGAAGGAGGAGGAGGAAGGCGAGAAGGAGGAGGAGGAGGAGGAGGATAACAAGGAGGAGGTGGAGTGAGGTGGAAGATGAGGAGGAGGAGGAGGAGGAGGTGAAAGACAAGGAAGAGGAGGAGTAGGAAGAGTAGGAAGAGGCTCACCTTAGCGACAGGTAGAGGAGCAGCTCGTGACGATGGCTCCAGCAGAGGCGACTATGCCTGTAGCAGGGGAACAGCAGGGAAGCGGGGCAGCGAGGAGGAGGAGGAGGAGGAGGAAGAGGAGGAAGAGGAGGAGGAGAAAGCCAAGGAGGAAGAGGAGGAGGAGGAGGAGGAAGACGACGAGGAGGAAGAGGCTCACCTTAGTGACGGGTAGAGGAGCAACTCCAAACGATGGCTCCAGCGGAGGCAGCTATGCCTGCAGCAGCGGAACAGTGGGGCAGCGAGGCAGGGGGCAGCGGGGCAGCCATCATTAAGCAGCGGAGCAGTGGGGAGGAAGAGGAGGAGGAGGAGGAAATGGAGGAGGAGGAGGAAGAGGAGGAGGAGGAAGAGGAGAAGGAGGAAGAGGAGGAGGAGGAAGAGGAGGAGGAAGAGAAGGAGAAAGAGGAGGAGGAGGAAGAGAAGGAAGAGGAGGAGGCCGCCAAGGAGGAAGAGGGGGAGGATGCCAAGGAGGAAGAGGAGGAGGAGGAAGAGATGGAAGACGAGGAGGAGGAGGAGGAGGAGGAAGACGAGGAGAAGGAGGAGGAGGAGGAGGAAGAGGAGTAAGGTGGAAGACGAGGAGGAGGAGGAGGAGGTGAAAGACGTGGAGGAGGAGGAGGAGGGAAGGATGAGGAGGAAGAGTAGGAAGAGGTTCACCTTAGCGACGGGTAGAGGAGCAGCTCCCGGCGATGGCTCCAGCAGAGGCGGCTATGCCTGCAGCAGCGGAACAGCGGGTCAGCGAGGCAGTGAGCAACGAGCAGCGAGCAACAAGGCAGTGGGGCTGTAGGGCAACAGGGCAGCGAGCAACAAGCAGTGAGGCAACGAGCAGCGAGCAGCGGGGAGGCGGGGCAGCGGGCTGTGCGATTTCGAATTCAAAATTGGCCCGATTTGGACCATCGATCTTGGTGGACCGACGACCCAAATCAGACTTTTTTTTTTCAAAATTTGTAGTCTTATTCAGGATCCGCCACCGTGAGGTATTGCCAGGGGTTGATCAAAACCCCTTGGCACCCCTAGAACCCAAGAAGAAGCCCTGCGCCTATCTTGCGCAGGCCCCATAATGTTTATTTCCAGGTTCTTTCGGGTGGAATTTCCGGCTGGATATTCCGGATGGTCCTGGGCCATCCGGATATTCGAAAAAAAAAACTTAGCTCTTAACATCTGTCAAGTCTCTAGGGAATGAGTTGGTATTGATTATATGAATTAGATTTTTCTTATATTGTACGGATGGTTTGAGAATGAGAAGCGTCCCGATTATGCACTTACGTACCTTGACTCGTATGCAGTAGCCGGAGTTAGTACCCTTTTGACCTAGATATTCGAAGTGTTTGGACGGTGCTTTACATGTCTGATGCGACGAAGGTTGAGGGAGGCGACATTAGCATTGCTAAGCATATTCATTGTTAAAATCAACCCTATAAGTACCTATTATGGCCACATGAGCCATATCAGTTGTCATGATAACATCATGGTACGCATGCATTGGGATGTGGCTGAGGATGAGTGAGAAAGTCTCTCCCTTGCTAAAAATTAAAATCATAGACCCTTTGCCTAAGTACTATGTTGGAGGTCGTTAGGACTTCAAGGAGGGGTAGGCTAAGGCGGCCGACAATTTTACGAGTATGAAGTGAAATTTTTTATTTTGGGTTCTAAATGATTGATTAAATTATTTAGGCATGAACGAGTTAAGGTTTGTCATGTGTTACCTGATGTGTTTCAATTAAACATATAACGTGGTAGACAAATGTAGTGAGCACCGTGTTAGGACCTCAGGGGAAGAGGCTATTGGCGGTAGTAGAAGGTGAAAAGTGTGCATGGTGTCTTCCTTGTAAAAAACAATTCTGATATTAAGTGCAGTCAGCGTGACAGTGAAGAGACTAACACTTCAACCATCCTAGTTATCTTTGATAGGGTGGTGAGATTCGAATAGTATTAGGTCTTCGCTTGAACCCTTCCAAGTTTAGACCATCCGCTTGAATCTATGTAGTTGGAGCTGAGCACTTACAACTATCTTTCTTAAACCACTAGTACCTCCGGGTCTGTTTTTGTCAACCCTGAATTTCACTGCGCTCCGAGTTTGCCAAGCCTGGGTACCACTTCATTTCTTTCTGGTACTCTTGCGAAAAAARAAAAAAAAAAAAAGAAAAAAAAAAAACAAGTTGTGCCCGTGAAATCAGAAAAAAGTAAAAAATAAATAAAATGGAAACTAAGTTTTGGTCATGATTGCAGTTGTATACATTCTTGGAAGTGGTAGTGTGAGTGTGCCCTCAGTGAGGGCATCTCAGCCCTATCGCCAGGTTGTCAGATTCGAAAAAGAGAGTAGAAGGAAAGAAAAACGGGCACACGGATCCGACTGTGAAAATGGTTGGATACATTCTTCTAAGTGCTAGTGTGATCACTGTGATGAGCGTTACAGTCCTCTGACAAAACACAGCTTGAGAAAATACCGGGCAGCATGACCGGATCACGGATTCCACCCTGCCTCGTTGGCAGGGGATTCAAAAGAAACACACGATAAAAAAAAAGAAAATAGTAACATTCAGAATGTGACCGCCTTACCTGTGAGGTGCATTTTGTAGAGGAGGACTGTGAGCACGACCTCCTGGACTGACGTGCCCGACATCATTGCAGTAGAGAAAACTTTTTTTTTTTTTCTTTTCCTTTTTCTCGCGGACACTATAAAAATTTGATTTATGGGAAATTGTCGACCATGTGTTCCACCCCCAATTTGTTCGGGAACTGGCGAAAGCTCGTAATTTCCGATCACTGGCGGAGGTACTAGTGGTTTAAGACTATTTATTTTGAGTTATTTAATTAAATTCATCCATGTGCGTAAAATGATTTGAGTAAGTCAATTTACTGCTTATTTATGTGAGGATATACACCGAATGCTATTGTTTTTTATCAACTTTTATGACCATTCATTTCATAATTATTCACATGGGTTATCTATTTGAGCTACTTATTTGAAAGTATCAGTCTGCCCCAATTTGTGTAAGCTACTCTATTTGATTATTCATTTATGTCTTTTCATTTAAGCCTATACATTTCGATTGCTTTGAAAAAAAGCAGTAAAAATGTTGCGCGGAATCCACGTTTGATACGAATTTGGAGATAGGTGGAGTGACCAACTCCTTGAGGAAGGGGATTTTCTCGAAAAGTGGTAAATGTGTAAAATCTACTTGGAAAGAAGTTTCAATCTTAAGTTATCTTTTTCATGAAAGATGACTTAAAGGAAGTTATAATCTTGTCTTGTAAGTAGCAGTGAGACCGACGGAGAAACTATATTATTGGTCCATAGTGGGGTGTTCTCATCTAATGCTTCATGGTAAAATGACTACATTATTATTGAATAGATAAAAGTGTTTTGAGCCTTATCAAACTATGGTCTATGAGGGAAGCAACAAATTCGTGCCACAGAGAGGTAGGGGGTGAATCCCAAAGTCTTTTTGTGCCAAGTGGGTTCATCTGCACGCGAAGGGACAGATCATCCGGGAACATGTATGGTGAAGTTGTCTACTTTATTGATAAGGGTTTTTTTTATCGATAAAGGTCTGCAAAGAGCAAATGTTGGAATTGGAGGGAGAAACAGTGAGGCTTGATCCTCGAGCGAGGCTCAGAGATTTACGATGTTATCCATTTTAAAAAATATTGCACTAGTCCTCGACACAATATACTTTTGTTAAAGTCAGGGAGTAAAATTTAGTACTTTCTTTATTATTATGTCGGAGAGTACTCATTGTTGGCAAAGTTATTTGACCGAGGCATTCATTTTGTTTATTGTAACTATTGATATAAACTCCTTGTCGTTAAGATACGTAAATATAAGTTGGTTAATCATCTATTTTACAAATGACGGTTGTGTTGCTTCAACGATCATGACAACTATTGTGGTTATCATTATTAAAGCATGACATCATTACTATAATAATAATTACGATGATTTTGATGTTAATAAAATTACGAGTGCATTGCTATTGCAATGTATTATCTTTATTATTTCCTTTTGGGTTGGATGGTGGTAATCATAGGAAGGGACAAATTTTGGTAAAAGTTATCTTTAAGTTTAAAATTCATGAATGTGGGTTGCAAAAAAGGAGGGTTTCAACCTCCGTAGCACGGCGAACGTGTTTGCACCTCTCCATGTTCGCACGAACGTGTTCGCGCGTTCGTGCGAACAGGTCGCGAACATGTTCGTGCGAACAGGTGGCGAACATATTTTTTTTCCATAAAAAAAAAATAATAATAAATTGGTTTTTCGGTTTTTGATTTTTAACTCATGATTGGCTGAGAATTTGAACATGACTCCAAGGCAAAAGTTGCTTGTTTTATTATTTTACATAACATATATTTTTTCAGATTGAGAAATTTATTTATTTATTTTTTTTAATATTTTTTATGTTCGCGTTCGGAGGGTTTTGGGCGCTTGTTCACGTTCGGGCAAACATGTTCGCGTTCTCCTCCGAACGCGAACACGGTGCTACGTAGGTTTCAACATAGTAATGAAAAGCGTATGTTGGACATTTGTTTGTGATGGGCAAAATCCATACATAGCAAAGGCAAGTCAAGATGTCGTATGCTAAGGAAGATCCCAACATTGCCTTTCCAATTGAAAGAGGGGGTGGGCTTGAGATACCATTGCCCAGACGAGTTAAGGAAGGAGAATGCATCTCTTCCTGGTCGGGAGTATCGATAGGTGCAGGTATCTCTATATAGATTGAGTCCGGCTTCGACGATAATGAGGACAGTGCGGTCGTAAGAGTAACCTTGTACGAATCATCGTCATTTTAGTCTACACTTGGAATCGAACTGATACTTAGGCATGAAAGTCTGCTTGCAAAACCTTTAAGGCTAGCTGAGGCGGTTGCTGCAAGGTGGGCAAGAGAAATGTTCCGTGAAGGAGAAGAGTCGGTGTCAGACGTGCGAACAAGTTTGTATTTTATTCAACCCCGTTATGCATCATCCTGCCGGAGTTTCTAGTACCGAAGTTTTTTCGGAGGACGGACAAGGATAAAAGCAACAACAGAAATCGCTTTAGTAGTGCGGGGATGAGGATACAAGCGTCCTACGTGCGAGATGATATATAATTTATACTGAGACCTGTAGTTATTACCCTCTAGCCAAGGACTTAGGAATATGGTTAATATTGTTGACGCTTAAGCGGATTCTCATGAGTCGGGCAAAAGGGTTAAAAATTGGGATGAGTTTCGAGCGGCAGCATGCCGATAAAGGGTACCTCCATAGCTACCAAGTGCACCTATCATTTGACAAAAAACTTTAAGGACTCATTTATGGTCATCTTACTGTTGAGCGCGACTACCATAACTTTAACCTCATGAAAATGTGGGACGAGGAAACAATGTGGAGTATGTTGTCGTTCTTTATTTGTGTGGAGTTGAATGAGAAAGTATATAGTACCCTCACGTTAAAATCACGAACTTGGCGGAGCTACCTGGAAACATAGGTTTGATTGCATATTGGAATGGTTTCATATATTAATCCGATTATGCTTACCCATATGGGTGCTTGTCGCCGTTCTCGTTTGTTGTGCATGTCTAACTTTCGAAGGCAGCCATGTCAAGAGGTAATAAGAGAGGACAACCATGAGAGACTCCTATGAGGGCTCCAAAGAGAGGCAAGTCATCCCAGACGACCGGACGTC